ATGTGGTGCTGGGGGATTGATCTGCGGTCCCTGTGCTTTGCCAAGCTTGTTCTAAGTAGGTGCTTTAGACCACTGAGCCATCTCACCAACCCCTTTTTTCCTTATTTTTAATAATGTTTTAGTGAAGCAATAACAATACAAGAGTCACAGCAATAAGGATACAGATGTGTTTCTGCTTTTGAAAATTAGTGCCCAGGAGATGAATTGTTGGGCTTTAAGTATTATAGGTGTTAAAAGAGAAAACTTAATTTTAATTGCTGCATGAAGGTAAAAATGAGAGCTTCACCTGCTGTCTTTATCCCAGGGTAGAGCTCACAGAGACATTACTGGTTTGGACCCTTGGAAGGGTCTGGTGCTAGGAAGTGCACCTACTCAAGGCCCACGAGGGTATCAGTGGAAGTGGGAAATGACCATATCGCTCTTGTTTTAATTTTTTTATATATATATATTTTGCCAGATCTCTTACATGATCTCAGCCTGGGCAAGAATGTGCAAAATCCTTGGGAAAGAATTTCAGCAGTACCTTCCGGTGGTTATGGGGCCTTTAATGAAAACAGCTTCAATCAAGCCAGAAGTAGCCCTCTTAGACAGTAGGTGTTTTTGCAAAGGCCTGTCAGCTGTGCTGTTTCTATGCTACTGGTTTTCATATGCATTTTTCTTATGTAAATAGCCCAAGACATGGAGAACATGAGTGATGACGACGGCTGGGAATTTGTGAACCTTGGAGACCAACAGAGTTTTGGTATTAAAACTGCAGGACTGGAAGAAAAATCAACCGCTTGTCAGATGTTGGTAGGAAATAATTTTAATAAAATTATTTGGAGCCTAGGAATCAACCCCAGAACCTTAATACTAATCTACATCCCTACCCCCATTTTTTATTTTGAGAGTCATGCTGAGGTGCTTGGGCTAAGCTGGAATTTGGGATCCTCCTGCCTCAGCCTCCTAGAATACTAGAATTACGGGCACACTACTACACCTGGCTGTCCCTGTAGCTCAGGCTGTCTTCATAGTTATTGCAGTCCTCCTGCCTCAGCTTCCTGAGTGCTGGGATTACAGGAATGTTGTGCTACTATTCCTGATTTACTGATGTTTTTAATACCAAGAAATGGTAAGTTGAATGAAGATTGATAAATTACTGTGTCCTGGAATATTAGACAGTTGTGACAAAAGGATTAAAGAATAAGTTTTTTTTTTGCTCTGAATGCCCTCAGGGGTGGTTTGGCTGGCTGGAGTGTTGTGGGGATCAAACTACAGCAACCTGAGGCTGACAGCTTTGTGGAAGCAGCCACTTAAAGAACTGAGCTAAGGCCAGGCCCCCAAGAATAAGTTTTTGTGAAGAAAAATTTTGTTTTGTTTTTGGAGAGAAGTAGCTCAAGCTGGCCTTTAACTCACTTTGTAGCCCAGGCTGGCCTCAAACTCACAGCAGTCCTTGTGCTCAGCCTCCTCCCAAGTGCTAGGAATACAGGCCTGTGCCCCCAGCTAAGATCATGTGTTTGTGCTCCATCTACAGTAGATAGCTGAGGTTATCTTTTGAATAAGTGAGTACAAATGTACTTATGTGGTGTTAGCTAAGCTAAACTAATATGATTTCAGCTGTGTGAGACTCACGGGTATGGCAGGAAAATCCAGATGCTAACCTTATGTATGATGAGCATGTGTCATAGGTAACAAAAGATGATCTTTTAAAGTTATAATTAAATGACAGTATGTCATATATTTAGCAGTTAGGTTAGCTGTGATAAAAGTGGCTTAAATTCTGTTATATATTTTTGTATTGCTGTGTTCTCTTTGGTTCATTTCAATGTGTGTTTCTTAAACTAATCTTCAGTACTTACTGCCCATATATGTTTTATAAACATGTTGGATTTTTGTGGGGGTTTTTTCTCTAGAGAAGAAATACAAATGTAACATCTTCCAAAAAATGACGCAAGCTTTTTGATGTAGTAGAGGAGATTGAAGAAAGTTTTTCCCATTCACTGTTCAAATTTTTTTTTTCTTTTCTTTTTTTTTTTTTGGTGGAACTGGGGATTGAACTCAGGCCCTTGCACTTGCCAGGGAAGCACTTATTCTACCGAGCCATCTCATCTGCCCCAGACTTTTTTTTTTGCAGAATCGGGGATTGAACTCAGATCCTTGCGTTTGCCAGTTAAGCACTTATCCTACTGAGCCATCTCCCTGGCCCCCTGATTTTTTTTTAATAATTCAAAATAAGCCTGGCCCAGTGGTGGTGCCTGCAGGGCCACTCCCGCCAGTCTAGAGAGCAGGGCCTTGTGTGTTGCATTTCACTCACATTTACAGGTTAATATCTTTGAACAAAGCTATAGTGATACATTTTGTCAGAAAGTTTTTCAAGGTACATGTTTATAAATTCTCCCACATACAACAAATAAAAACATGAATTACTCCAGACCTTGAATGGTAATATACATTACAATCATTTTATGGCTTTCTCTTTCCTAAGTTCTTACTACTTAGATTAGTTGGAGGGTCTGCATGTGACTTTAAATGTAGAACTAGTAATGATGCAAGGTTTTGTGAACTTTGAGATTTTGCTATTTGCTCATAAATAACCTAAAAACTACCATGGGTGCAGCTCAGTGCGGTCACTCATGCAGTCTCCAGGTTGGAGCAACAGCACTACAAGAAGGAAAAAGGGAAAGCCGTGCATGCGTTCTGATTTCTTCTCTAATATTTTCGTTTCAGGTTTGCTATGCTAAGGAATTAAAGGAAGGTTTTGTGGAATACACCGAACAGGTCGTCAAACTGATGGTCCCTTTACTGAAATTTTACTTTCATGATGATATCCTACAACAGTTGAGCACAAAACGGTCCTGGATTTAGTAAACTAGCGTGTCCTCGATTACTCGACTCTGTGAGAACTGCAGCATTCAGCACCATTATTTGGGCAGCTACAACTGCAGTTAGAGTGCACACCTGGCTCTCTGCATGTGTCTTTGACTGTGCCAGAGATCCGAAGGAGAAATGAAGTGTGCTGCAGTAACTAGCCAGTGTGCGCAGCCTCCTCCAGACGGGAGGGAGTGTTTTATTGGCAAATGTTTACAGGTTTGTGTAGGGGCTGCTTTCCCCAAATATTTTTTGATGATGATAGGAAAATAAGACTTTCCTAGTGGGTTCGAGCCCCACTGACAGGTAACTTTCTGAGACAGAGGTGCCACATGGCTAACGTGGACAGCACCTTTGGGAGAAGCGTCTCTCGGTGGGCCTGCATGTTAGGATTTTTATCAGCAGTGGTCATAATTCATCTAGCCACATGTTATACCTTTACGCACACTTACATACTCTCCTAGGTGGGTGAAATGAGGACAGCCAAGGTGAGGGGCAGAGCTCAAGACTGTCCCCCAGGTCAGAGTCCAATCTCTCACGTGGTGGCCCATACAAAAGCTGGCTTTGGCTGTCAGACTCCCATGGTTCCGGTGGCGAAGCATAATTTCTTTTAAGAAGAAGTTATCCAGACCTTATTTTTTTAAATGATTAGAGAGGAAGCAGTAATGTAATTTTATTGAGAACGATAAAGCTAGCACAGCATAGAAGAGGTCTCGGGAACCTGGAGATGCATGCATTACCCAGCTTCTGGGGAAGGTGCATCTTGGGAAATGCTCCTGCAGCCACCCACAGGGCCTCGTGTTCTTGGTGTGTACTGGTTACATTTGGGTAGCAGGAAACCCTTTATCACGGTATCCATCTTGCTAGCCTTATTTTTTTGGTTGTTTTTCTTTTTGAGACCGAATAATTCAGGCTGTCCTTGAACTCACTCTGTAGCCCAGGCTGGCCTCAAACTTAACAGTGATCCTCCTGTGTCAGCTTCCCAAGTACTGGAATCACAGGCGCGTACCACCATGCCTGGCCACCATTCCACTGTTGTGTTGGTGACAGGAAAGACAGGCGTGTCATAAGGACAGGAAGATTTTTCTACTTTTATGTGTGCTCTATATTTAATACAAGCTCTTAGATAAACAGAAGTTGCCAGTGCTCCTGTAGTTTTATTTAATGTTAAGAAAGGGTATTGGGCTCAGTGAGATAGCTCAGTGGACTAAGCTTCTGTTTAGGCAAGCGCAGGGACCAAGGTTTGATCCCCGGCACCACATGCCACACCGGCCATGCCCACTCCCAGCACCGGGGAAGCTAAAACGAGGATCATTGCAAGCCCAAGCTGCATAGTAAGACACAGTACGAAATAAATTGAAAAAAAAAAATTTAAAAAAGAAAAGAGTGGGGCTGGGGAGATGGCTCACTGGAATATGCGCTTCCCAGGCAAGCGCAAGGGCCCAAGTTCAATCCCTGGTTCCGCCCCCCCCCCCCAAAAAAAAAAGAAAGGGTGCTGCGATGGTCCAATGCTCCTGAGTGCTCATATTTCCTTAACACCACCACGTGTCCGAGTGGCCGCTGCGGAGTCCATGCCTCTTCTCCTGGAGTGTGCGAGAGTCCGGGGTCCTGAGTACCTCACGCAGATGTGGCATTTCATGTGTGATGCACTGATCAAGGCCATTGGCACGGAACCAGACTCGGATGTCCTCTCGGAGATCATGCACTCATTCGCAAAGGTGACTGCTGCTCCCAAGGAGTATTTATAGAGTTGTGTTTGTGTGCTAGTCTTGCTGAATAAAGTAGGGGCGAGTTAGGGGCTTTTAAGATGCTAGAGCATAGATTCTCTTACTGGAAGGGTTAGCTTCTCACTGTGATGCTTTGGCATGTCATAGCTTTTGTTTGTTTAGGAGTAGGCATTGGAGGAAGGGTGCATGTGCCCTGGAAGTGCAGGACCAGTGAGCAGCATGGGACAGGCAGAGGCACGAGGCGTGTGTCCTAGGAAACAGAAGACGTTCTGAACAGTCTGCCCAGCGTTTTCCATCCTCCCCCAGACACCTAGGTGCCACTTTCTTTCGTGTCTAGCTCTGTCCACTGTGCTTTCTCCAGTCCCTCTTATTTTTCCCCATTGACAAGTCTCGCTTGAGCTATTGAAAATAGCCCTCCTCACTCTACTCTGAGAGCCTCTCCTCCCTCCGAGTTCATTCTCGCTTGCTCGAGCACAAACCTTACTGGTCGTTGGATCTCTCCTTTTCCTACTCTCGGTATCACCCTGAGACACACAGCTCCAAATCTTGTGCCAAACTCAGTTTAAAAATCAGATGGAGTTAGAGCCAGGCCTGCTGGTCTATAATCCCAGCATTCAGGAACACTGAGTTTGAGACTAGCCTGGACTACAAAGTGAGTTCAAGGCCATCCTGAACTGCTTATAGAAATCCTGTCTCCAAAAAAAGGTGAGGGTTGGTGTTTATGGATGCAGCTGTGTTCAGAACCTCTTCTGTGTCTCCAAAGCACACGCACTTCTGTGCCTTCCCTCCACTTGAGTGCTCCTTCCTCCAGGTGTGATATCGGTGTATGCTGTACACACAGAGGTGGTTCTTAGGAGCAGGCTGTGTCTGTTCCATCTTTGAACCCTGAGAGCCCAGCGGAGTGCCAAGCACCCACTGACCCATCCGTGTGTAAAGTAGAAGCATGATTTCTAACGATCTCCCCTGTGGAGCACTATCTTTCTAACAGTTCCAGACTAAGTACATAGCTGGTCCTTTTTCTTCCCGGGTACCACATAGTGTTCGTTTTTGTCAGGCCTCTGTAAGACTTGTTGTGGAGTTTAACTTCCGGGTCTCCTAACCATTAAACCTTACGAGTCGCTTTCTTCCCCATCTTCATCAGTGCATTGAAGTAATGGGTGACGGGTGCCTTAATAACGAACATTTCGAGGAACTGGGAGGTATATTGAAAGCCAAACTTGAAGAACATTTTAAAAATCAAGAATTGCGGCAAGGTAAGTTTTCTATCTTTTTATTTCTGCATGAAATTCTTGCCCTTTCGGGGATTATTTAAAAACATTTTCTGGGTGTGTTTTAGTGAAAAGACAAGATGAAGACTATGATGAGCAGGTTGAAGAATCCCTGCAAGATGAGGTAAGTTACTCCCTTCAGAACTTCATGTTCTCCACCATTGTCATCTGAAAGGATTTTTAAAAATATATTTGGTACAGGGTCTCAGCTACACAGTTCGGACTCATAGTGATCCTTCTGTGTTCAGCCTCCCCAGCACTGGGATTATAGGCATGTGCCATCAGATCAGGACTTGGTGGCCAGCTGAGCCACCGATTCTCGGTGGCGCAGGGGATCAAACCCAGGTCCCTGCATTGTCTAAGCAAGCACATAGCCCCTGAACTACCTCGCCAGCCCAGAAAGGTTTTTAAGTACTTCAGTTTCTAACTCGTCTCACTTGTTACTCTGATTATCAGTAATCTAACATGGAAACCTGACATTTCATTCATTGATTTGCTTTGCTTTTGTGGGGACAGGGAGACAGGGTCTCACTGTGTAGTTTCTATTGGCCTGGCACTCACCATGTAGCAGGCTGGCCTCAAACTCAGTGATCCTTGGGCCTCAGCCTCCCAGTACTAGGATTACAGTGCCACCACACCCAGTCTGATTTGCAGAATAATTTGAAATTAACTGATTGGTCTTTTGCATGCTGTGTATGAACCCAGAATACCTCGTATTTTATTTACATGTGGTTGAAATACAACCATTTGTGTTTCACCACTTAAACATCAGTGGCTCAAACTCTGACTGGAAATGTTGCCCAAGGCTTGAGAGGCTTTCTTCCCTGCCCTTCTCTTGCCACACTGCAGGCTCAGCAGACCCTTTGGTGTGGAGGGCCTGTGTCTGCAGTGCCTCCCGGTGGGGGCTGAAGCACCTGGAGCCAGGAGTCGTGACTCCAGCCTCTCTGTCACCCCTCAAGTGAGGACTGTTCTGCCAAAAATAAATAGTATATGAGGGAGAGTTTTTACCTGTCTACTTTTGACTGCGTTCTAGGGAAAAATTTTAAGTGATGCAGTGTAGTTGTCACATACTTTGCTTAGAGACAGGTAAGAGATGCGACATCTGCTTGAATATCTAGGTAATTGATCCGACCCTAAGGTGGGAAAAGGGAAATTCTGTTCTGTAGTTTTGAGATTTTTATACATGTTGTTATGTTAACTCATTTGGGTATTGTTTTCCTTTTCTTCAGGATGAAAATGATGTTTATATACTGACCAAAGTGTCAGATATTTTACACTCAATATTCAGCAGCTACAAGGAAAAGGTGTTACCGTGGTTTGAGCAGCTGCTTCCTTTGATTGTCAACCTAATTGTAAGTTGCTACCTCTCTTCATAGAGTTATTTTGGATGTGTGACCTCGGTTTTGTTGCATCATACAACATCTTACACTTAAGATTAAAGTGGGCCTCAGAAATGTAGTTTTCACTGCACAACTTTATGTATTTTTTGGAATCTGGATTTAACTCAGGAGCTCACACTTGCCAGGCAGGCAGCATGCTGCTGAGTTGTGTCCCAGGCTGCTCTACTGTATGATTTGAATTATCACATTGCTCTATTGCCCTGTATGTTTCCTCATTATGGTCTTGATTGCCAATTAGGTTTTCCATTGACCAGTTACAGTGCTTTCTAAAGACTTAACAGATGATTTTTCATTTTTTTAGATTATGCTGTATTAAATTAATAGAAGGAAACAATGATTACATTTTATTCAGTGAACCTTAGCAAATTCATTTATGATCCTTCTGTTAGTATAGTTGGCTAGTGAACATGTGGGCTTATGTATTCTACTTCTTAAGATACTTCATAGATTTACTTTAGAGTAGTTTAAAGGTTGAAATCAAATGGAATGGGCAATACAGGTTCTTTTCATATACCTCCCCCCACCCACTATCCACACTCCTCACCAGGGCCGTGAATTTGTTACAGCTATGGGGTCTCTGCTGACACATATAATTGCTTTATATTTTCAATATTTTTAAAGATACAAATTAACAGCTGTCAAAAAGAAGGCACACATAGCCTCACTTGTTAAATCAGTGCTATAAAAATGAAGTTCTTCCCTGCTTTTAAGTGTTACCTTTCACAGTATGGCATGACCATGGTCTTGTATTTTTGCTGTGTTGCCCAGGCTGACTGGCGTCTGATTGCTGGGTTCCAGCGCTACCTTGGCCTTTCAGCTGGCTGGGCCTGTGGCACGCAGTCCTATGCCTGGCTGTGTTTGTTCTTCTTCATTAAGTGAATTGACACGTGTTGCGCTAGCATCAGTTCTTCCTGGTCTGTGGTGTCTGATTGTGTAGCTCTGTAACAAAACACCAGTCCTGATAAATTTCATCAGTGTGTGCCTCAGTTTATGGTATAGTTAGAAGAAGTGGCTTTCTGCTGTTGAGTCTGTAGTGCACACCCCATCACGCTTCTGTCTTTACATTCGTTATGTATACTAGAACTAGTGGCTTAAGAGAATCTTGTTTTTTAGTGTCCACACAGACCATGGCCGGACAGACAGTGGGGGCTGTGCATCTTCGATGATGTCATAGAGCACTGTAGTCCAGCCTCATTTAAGTATGCAGAGTACTTCTTAAGGTCCATGCTCCAGTACGTGTGTGACAACAGCCCAGAGGTCAGGCAGGCGGCTGCATACGGCCTGGGAGTCATGGCGCAGTTTGGCGGCGACAACTACCGCCCCTTCTGTACAGGTACGTCAGGCTTGCTACACCTCAGCTCGCCTCCCCACGCCCTTTGTGTCGCAGCCTCACTGTCTTCACCATGTCCCTTATATACCTGTTTCTACTGTATCTTTTTCTCTACTGTATCTTTATTCCCTCTTTCAAATACCTCATCTTAGCACCTAGGAATTTCTCATATTCTCATAGAAATGGAAGTGAAATCTGAATGGAACCAGCCTCCTGCTCCCTAATCTTGCAGGGCATTTCATTTGGGGTTTAAACCACAGCCTTGGGCTGGGGAGGTACAGCTCAGTGGTCTAAGTGCCTGCCTGGCAAGCACAAGGACTTGAGTTCGATCTCTGGTACCACATGCCATGCTGGCCCCAGAACCCCAGGTATGCCCATGCCAACTACTGAAAACAGGCATGGCACACGCCTATAATCCCAGCTTTGGGATGGCTGAGACAGAAGGATCACTGTGAGTCCAGGCTGCATAGTGAGACCCTGTACCTAATTAATTAATTTAAAAAGTTTAAACCACAGCTTTAGTGAATGGTCTTTAAAAATTATTGGAGAGCCTTGGCGTAAAGGTACAAGAATAGGAAGAACTCAAGGTGCAGCCCTGAGCAACTTGGCAAGACCTTGTCTCAGAGATGTAAAGAAAACAAAAAAAGGATAGAGGTGGGGTTGTTTGTCCTGCAGAAATGATCACCAAGACTCAGAAAGTAGACCTGGATCTTGGGCTTCCAGAAAAAAAGAAAAAGAAGAAAGGTAGTCAGAGAACCAGAGACTCAATATGCAGTTGTAAATGATAGAAATTATTTTGCTGATAATTCTCCTGTGAGGGTCACATCCCCCTCTAGGACTATAAGCCAAGAGCAGACACCCCATATACCCTTGGTAAAGAAAAAGACAGGCCACAGCACCTTTTATGAAGAGCTCCCAGAATCTGAGCCCACGTCACAAGCCAGACAGATGGAGAAGTCACCCAGCCCCAGGAAGCAGGCCTTTGACCACTCAAAGTCCTTCAGTGGTGAGAAAAAAAAAGAGGTAAGACGT